TTGCTACTCTCCTAGTAACCGCTGTGGTTTTACTGGGTTCACTTGTTCACCACTTTAATTGAGGTACCCCACCCCTCTCTATAGGCGCCCATAAGCACGCCTTCCTCTGTGTGTGTGTGTGTGTGTGTATACATTGGCTCCTGGCAACAGTAAATCACTGGTCCATCAGGCAGGCTTTACCACAAGCAGTTGGCCCTTACATAGCACTTTCATCATCCCCTGTACAGCATCACTCAGCAGGCAAATTGAATCCAGACTGTTTTTACTGCTAGTTGTAAAGGTGGCCCCCGCTCTCGGTGCTCTCAGGATTGTTTGACTGTTGATGATTTTCATATGTTCAGCTGTATCTGGATGTCTGCAACTACAATATGAATTCTCTGTGCTTCTGTGACTCATCCTGGCATTTTATGTTGTTTTTGTTATTTTGAGCAACATGGAGCAAAATTACCCATTAAATGAAAGACACTAGACTAATAACTGTTGTAAACAATAATTACTGACTGATCAGAGGGGCAGTTATGTCACCTATGAAAGTTATACACACACACACGTAGGCTGGAACTATTTCACAAAGGAAGTCTAGTTCTACGTCCGCTGGAATGATGCTGAGCACAACAGCAAACAATATTTGACCGAAACGTTATTTCTTGCTCACCTTGAAAACGGGTGTACCCGAGTGTTTCACCACGGAAACTTTTGTAGTACTTTACTCCGTAGACGATGATAGGCCTACGAAGTATGTGTGCAAGAACGAAAATGTGGGTCTGTTCCAAGCTGGATCCTGGCTGCAAAAGAAAAAAAAACACACACACAAAGTCAGAAAAATACAAAACAATGCTTTAGGACTCCGGGAAGCGATAAAATGAGGGTTCTTGAATGCAGCCAGGATACTCTAAATGTGAAAACATGGAAAACACTAATTTTAATGAGCTTTCACACCCAGATATAATAACAGCCCACCCAAATACTTAGTCAGTGAGGTCACAAAGAGCAGTGAGAAGCAGAGAAGTGCTGATGACAGACAGGATGCACTTTCGGAGGGCATTACAGGTTAAGTATACTGCACCAAGAGCAGTAAAACTTTTTGCATAATTCATGCATTATTAGTGTGTCACGTTTTAAGCACATCAAGCTCCTGTCCTCCATGTTTGTGTGTGAGTGTGTTTACTTCCATGTACATGTACCTGGCTGGCAAGGGACAGTATGAAAGCCCAGTCTTCCTGCCACTGTTCCTCTCGGAGGGAAAAGTGCAGACCAAAGCTTTGGGAATACCACGACTCCCACTCCTTCCAGCGGGTGTAAAACCTGCACAGACACACACAGATACACACGCACACAAACTGTTTAGCCTGTGACATTATTTGACCTCTGTGCAGCAAGGCGTGGGCTTGCAATTGACTACATTCCTCCACGTCTGTCGTGGTTTGGGCTGGATGGCATTACTCATTATATCTAAACAGCAATATCTCACCAAAAAAAACACTGTTTCTCACAAATAGACGTGAGTCACGCTGGGCTTTGGAGTCAGACTCCGTGCCCCTCCACTCAAAAATGCGTTTTCTTTTTTTTTTTTCCCTGTCTCTTTTGTGTACAGAACAATTTATGTGAGTTTGACACCAGAAGCCTGCATTCAATTTTCATCTGCCTGAACGTTTGCACCTATGAGCATGTTTTGGAACATCGCAATCATTTTGGAGCCACTCGTGATTCAGGGTGCAACTTAAATAATGTCATGTGGAAGTTTAAAGAAGAGAATGTTTTGTTTGAATGAATGTTTTTCCAATTAAACTAAGAAGATGCAGGAGTCATAACAGATCTTTGAGGACATAAAATTTTAAAAAAGCCCTTGTTTCTTATTTCCAGATCAAAGTCTCTGATCTCTTTATAAGCTGCCAATCTAAACTTTGGATTCGTAAACCCCGGCATCTAAACCACATGTTCCATAGACATGCTGAAGGAAAACAAAATGTAACTTGACACTTTTGAAAGTCAAGCTTTTGTTTTCCTTCAGTTGTGCACTTGAGCTCAGTCATTTCATGATTCACAAAATGTTTCTGTGTAAAAAGGTCAGCTAAGCAAAAAAAAAAGGAAACACTGGACGAGACAGGGATGTCTGTCGGCAATAAGTTAAGAATAAACATATCCCTGTTTATTCAGACTATAGTACTTTTAAAAATGGAGCTTTTTTGCCTATATAAGTTGTCTCCTAACTACTAGTCATTAAAAAGAGCAACATACAAGTTCCAATTTCTGTTAACACCAGTCTAAATTTTATGTTTGGTGCACTGTGTCATTCAATGTAACATAATTTGAATTGGTTTAAAACAAGATGCAAATCAGCTCGAACTACACACTTAGTCCCCGTGGTGTCGCCTTACCAGTGAGAACAGTCGTGCAGACTGTCATGGAGGGTTTTGCGGAGTACTGAGTCCTTGTCATAGATGCCCCACGTAGCCTGCAGCACAGAGTCAAGGAGGCAGTCCCCAGCTGTGCGGTTCCACAGGGCATAAAGTCGACTGTCTAACCTAGTCCCCAGCTCCAAGGACCAGTTGATGATGGGAGACTCCTCTTCAAGTTCTAAACAAGAGGGGAGACGACAGGATATCTCTTCAAAAATGAAATAAAATTAAATTTAAGCAATAACGCTAATAATAAGGAAACATGCTGTACAAGGAAGTGCAACAGTGTGGTTGTACAGTGGTCATGGTGTTTCAGTATTAGCTAATGCCTGCTCACATCTGTGAAAGTAGTAGTGACATAACAATGTCTGTTTGTAAACCACAAAACCAAATGACTACTAAGGCTCAGGTTATGACAGGAAACCTAAAAAGAGATAAAGACAGAAATAAAGATACTGTATGGCCTAATATAATGTTTGACACACACTGAGACGGTGAACCACAGAGAAGGCTACACAAAAGAGCAGGGACCTTCAGGAAGAAAGGTGACGGCTTTTATAAGTGTTTATGTGTGACCTGAAAGGAAGTACAATCATTCAACAGTGATCAAAGAAATTCCTAAAACTCATTTAGGCTGATTAGGACAAAGGCAACTGGTACATGTCCTGAAGTGAGAGCGCTTGGCAGATTGACAAACAGGAAGGAAAAAAAACTGTTTGCAAGCAAGAAAATACCAGTTAGACAACATAGCGAGCCCTCTGCTGCCTCCCTGTTATAGTATACAGTTTGTGAGGGGACTCCCCTTGTGTGCCAAGCAGCCAGATCATCAGGGGATCTGGTTTCTCTCTCACACGCTCAAAATAAGTGCATGGATACTTGAGGACAGCATGTGATTTGTGTTCATAAAGCAGAAAAGAGTAAATATTTCACCTTTTTGTACGTCTCGGTCCAGCACCTCATCAAACAGTTTTTCCTGAACTGCTGGAGGCAAGTCCTCAATGTCTGAAACACAAAGAAGAGGAATCGGAGCAGGTCTTGGTTTGATTTACATTTAACCCTGATAGATGTGTGCATCTTTGTTTTAACTACCTGTAAAACTTTACTAAAAGGACTGAAAAATTGCTCTGACTCATTTCAACTCAAGCCACCATGTTTTGTTCTCTTCACAACAGCCCGTGGCTTTCACTCTCTGCCCTGAGCTCTGCTCAGCACAGTAGCTTATTCTTTAGCTAAAATAAATGAATGCATTGACTTAGTGGAACTGAACAGAATGGGTTTCTATAGTGGCCAGAAGCCAAGGTCGGCATGTCCTGAACACTCTGCAAAACAAAAATCCTTAGCTTAGCTACCAGCTTCAGACTGAACCACAAGATCAGTTCCACACAGTACAATTCAACAGAAATAGCACTGAGTGCCTACAATTTTACCAAAACACACTGGCTAAACACTAAATATGGCTTTGCTATGAATGAAAGTCAAGCATAGCTGGTGCATAGTTGGCAGTACGTGGTATTTTCGGTTTGCTATTACAATACACAAACAATGTAGCCTCCATGTTGTGGCAGCTGGAAACAGACAACCGTGGCATTATGTCCCCGCAGCGATCGAGCAACAAGCAATCTTATACGCCAGAAGTAAACAAAACAAGCATTCTGATACACACTCGGAAAGCCAGACGGAATGGCTTGGCTGGGTTTATTCAGCTACAGACACTTTGAAAGGCTTCTGGAATTTATGTTATGATATTTTGTAAACTGTTTTTTTTCCTGGCTGCATTTACTTGTTTGTCTGCTAATGAGGTGCTGACCTGCAGGCAGGGTGAATGTCACTAGATCGGTGAGGAAATAGCAGGTGAAGTCTCCCTTGCGCTGGTGAAGAGAGGCCGCTACCTCACGACGGATCTGCTCTGTTAGCTCAGGACACACCATGGCTGGAATACACTTGGCTGCCTGTTGGGATACCTGCAGAGAGGGGAGCATATACAGAGGGAATTTAAATCTACATAAAGTGTACAGGATGCACAGAATAAGAAAAAAGCAAGAGCATTTCCTGCAACTACAAAGAACCATAAAACCACAAACTAATGCAAAACCAACTGAATGCATTGCTCCACCGAGGCGTAAGAAGAATAAAATTTAACAGTCACAGCTTCAGCGCCCTGAAAGTCACTTGACTTTGATAATATCTGATGCAGTTAAGATAAAGAGATCTGGAGAGATTATTCTGAACAAATCCTTTTGTCTGATACGTTATGTCAATGTAGAGAGGCCAAGAACAAGAAAAGAAGTCAGTTCAAGAGATCAGTAGGCCATTTTTATATTCTTACCTAGACTGAAAAACCAAAACCTTCTATGAATGCATCCGATTTATCTCTCCTTTTAAATAAACCTAGCAAATTTCTGGAGATGCCATTTAAACAAATTCTACCACATTCGCAGTCTGAATACTTGGGAAAGTCATTCATTTTGGGGTCTGTAGGCAGAAGACTTAGCTCACTGTGTTCTGAGCTAATTTTACTTTCACTAATCAAATCTAAATCACCTCCAGGACACAGCAAGTTCACGCAGGTGTCAGCTTTGGGGCGTTTCAGGGACATGATCCAGTGGTTACTCACTAACCCTCTTGGAAAAGAAACTAGGGCAGCAGCTGAGTGTGGGTGAAGAGGTGTGTGTACAGATAATCCGTGATCACAGTGCTGAAGGCAAGAGGGGTGCAATCAACATCAGCACATGCACAGTTCAAGCAGACACACATGAAGTCAGCGAGCCTCACTGCACAGACACACCAGGATGCTGAACATACAATACCAATGCTATTAAATAATTACTGACAGAGGAACATATTATTATAAAGTTTGCAGAGCAGGAGTGTGCAGCTGAATTTAGTCCCTCTCTTTTCTAAAAAACACTCTGGTCCTAGGACTTCTCCTGGCTGATCTCACTAAATGAGAGTAGGAGAAGAAGCTTGATCCAATTTTGGGGTCATGCAGATACTCATATTCAGAAATAAAACTACATTTACTAGGTTGAGTAGAAGAGCTCAACCAATAATATTTTTCTTATTTAATATTTATTTAAAGTATCCATGTGTAGGTGTTATCTAATTAAAAGTTGTTTTTTTTTTAGATTGAGCCTAATTTTACTTTCCATCCGTGCATTTTCTTAATCGCATCTCCAGCTAGGGGCATGGGGTGTATGAGTCTGTCCCAGCTGAGCCTGAGTGAGAGACTGGGTACACCCTGGACTAGGTCTGCACAATAAATCGAATGTCAATCACGATTGTGATTTTGGCTACCCACAAAACAAATGAACACGAACAGCTCCTTAAATTACAGTTAGATGACGTGCCTGCCTGTGCCAGTCGTAGTGGTTTTCCCTGTATTATGCAGCGTGAAGTTTCCTGGATGTAGCCTGGTCAAGTAACACTACATTAAAATGACAAAATTACAAAACAAAAATTAAGTGTCTGGCACAGCAGAAGGTGAAGAACTTGTTCCCAGAAGTGGATCATCATTGGTTGGTTGAAAATATTTCAGATTTAGGGCGAGTGGTATTAACCAAGAATGAACCATATTCAAAGAGTCCTGTAGAGCTGCGTCTGTATGACAAACCAACACAACTAACCCATTCAACCACCTGAAAACACACCACTAACTACAGTGTAATCAATACATGAAGGCCAAGAAAAATAATTAAATGGTTGCTAGTATGAATTGTCCATCATCAAGCAGCAAAACAATGCAAAGGAAATAAAGTAGGAGCAGTGTAGGGGAGTGTTATTTATAAATAAAAGATTTTGTCGCTAAAATCAATAAATAATTCGGTAGATAACGGTGATCTTATTATTGATCCAAACAATTGTGATAACCATTTTGGCCATAATTGTGCAACCCTACCCTGAACATGTCACCAGTACATGTAAGCAGCGCTAACACAGACACAGACAACCATTCACACTCTCACATTCACAACTGCAGCTAATTGTAAAATCGCCAGTGAGTCTAACAGGTATATTTTTGGACTGTGAGAGGAAAGCAGAGCACTTCGAGGACACTTGTACAGACAAAAGAGACCACCATGGTTGTGTGTTGGTTAGATGCAAAGCTTTGCAGACTATCATTTACAGTTGAGTACATCCTACAAAGAACACAGAAATTATAATATACAAAGTGTGCCTTTGTAGTGAAGTGAAACGGAGCGTTAAAAACAATTTAAATGCCAACTTAAGCCAACTATGCTCTTGGCGTTTTGAAGGACTTCAGGCAAGATCCCCAAATCCTTTACTCTGTGCAGCTGAAGCCCTATGAAAACAGACACAAACTGGGCACCACAATTTCTGCTACAAGGACTTAAAAGCTAAACATGAAGACCCCAGCCGACAAGGTGTCTTGTAATTAATCATCTACAGTATGACCTATATAGTCACGTATTTAATATGGTCTAGTGCTTTGATAATCTACAAACATAATTCAGAAAGTTCTGAAAGTGAACCAAGTTTGCACTGACCTCTGTGAGCAACACTGCCAGCATGTCCTGTCTCTGGAAGCGGATGGCTAGGTGAACCAGCGTGAAGCCATCATCGAATGCTGAGGGCCGGTTTAATAGGCGCACCTCGTCGGACGTCAGCTGTCTTGCGATGTCACCTCCCGATGTCTTGTAGGCTTCCACAGCTGCCAGGTCACCTTCTACAACACCTTTCAGACAAAGAAGGGGAAGGAGAAAGCTCCCATCAATAAACAATGTTAACAAGTGATCACTCTGGACACAGTTTTGAAGTGAAGACCTTTTTTTTTCCTGCTTTGCCCCACATTAGCACAAATTTTGTGCATTTAACTGGCAATCATTTTCATGAAGACATTTAAAATATAAAAATGACAAAGCTCAGCTGAGAAAAATAAATGCTTTATCAGTCCACTTTTGGTTGTGGAAAAAATAGGAAATGAGCAGACGTGCTGACCACTGCAGTCGAATCATACCAAGTCTTAACACAGCAGAGACATAAAAAGACTACCTTGCGCAGAGGTCAGTTTACACTACACTAAAATATATGAAATATTGGAGATCTGAATGTGCTTTATCTCTGTGGCAGCTGTAACAGCTTTGAGACTTTGCTGACTTTGAAGTCAAGGGGAAAAGACATCAGGGGGCAGAGTGTGATCTTTCAGTTATGTTTTTTTCACCTGCTTAATCTTCATGTTTATGTTGTAGCATAAGCGTTGACGGATATGTTTGAGCAGCTGTTGGTGTGTCTGTTCTTTTCTGGTGCAAAGTGTAAATGAAACAACCAACTTCCAGAGAACAAACTCAAATAGTTACCAGCTAATGAGACACTACTCCAGGAAGAGTCATTCTGTGAAAAAAAACAGCAGATTCTTTTTAATATATTAACTTTAGCATATGCAATGAAGCACTGCAAAATTGTATGTTTACTTTATGCAAATTGAGTTATAGTATAATTTGAATTTTTGTCCATGAACTCACACATGTGATTTGCGGACATGAACTGTTAATAGTCAGCTTTATGTTTTAATATAAGTTGACTGAGACTTATATGAACACGTTCTGCTCAGAATGAAATAAATAAATTGAAATATTTGGTTTTCACATCCTTTGTTAGGGAAAGTTAATGAAGTTAACTTAAACTAAAGAAAAAGCTCAAATTAAAGGAGAAGCGATCCATCTCGATGTGGCGAGCAGAGAACATAGAGGTGAGTGACTGAAGTGGCTACCAATGAGAGCGAAGGATATTAACTGACAAATCACAGGGCTGTAAATATGTTAAAGGGTTACCTAGGCAACCGGAGCTAGGCTCACCTGTTAGCAGCCAACCATCAGCAACAAACCAATGTGTGATGAGCTTCCTGCCTGAATAACTCTTAGAGTGTAAAGAACATTTAACTAGAAGCTTTATTTTAGAAAATAAACAAAAAACTAAAACTAACTCAAACATTATTGTGTAAATAAAAAAAATAGCTACAATAATAAAAAAAAAAAAATCAGGAACAGGAAATGTGCTCAGCTTTAGTCTTTGTTATTTTGATTTTTGCAATATTGAATTTTATTATTGCACTCTTCTGAACTTCATAAATCTTACAATTTGCCAAATTATTATTAGCATTATAATCACCAAACTAATCCTGACATTGCAATTAATAAAAAACATAATTAAAACACTTATACAATAAATGCTACATTTAAATAAGAAAAACCAATACTGAAACGGAACTGAAAACAAAAGGTTAACCCTACAAAAAAACAAAGAAAGTTCTGGTATCCCTCAGCCTCCCCGTAGATGCACCTATGGTATCAATTTCAAAATTCTACGTGGTCTCGTTCTCGAGTTATCGCATTCACAAACTTGGGTGTCCACGCCACCTGTACGCTTGCCCTGCAGGGTGATGACAATACCCCATCAACCTTTTGCAACTGAGGGGTAAAAACTGATAGAAAATACAAAGCTATAATAACTCTTGTGCAAGCCTCTAGTTCTGTGATCAACCACAGTGAGACAAAATAACCTATTAGTAGTTTAAGCAGAGTAAAACATTGAGCTAAATGTGTTTTTATGAGTAATGAAAACAAAATCAAAGTGTAAATTTCTTTCAAATATGACAGCAGCCACAGAAATATCCTCTTCCCATTTCTAGCGTATACAGTAAATGCTCATGTGGTAGTCTCTCGTACATTTGATAGCTTAAAACACTGTTGCGCTTTTGTTCTCGCGTCAAAGGACCACACACAATGCTCAGCTGCATAATCTGCATGTGAGTGAGAGCGAGAGAGACATGGAGTGGGTAGAAGGACTTGCTGTGCCATGTGGAGCTGGCTAGCGCGGTGAGGGATGAGGAGAGAAACTACACAATAGCAGCGCAGCGTGATAGAAGGATCACAAAACCACTTTCCAAAAAACACTCCATTAGCGTGGGTGTGCCTGTAGCCCTGCAGTCAGTACTGTACTCACAGATCCTTTGGTGAACACAAAAGGCTCCAATATTCAAACAGACATACACTTAAAGACAGACTAATTAGACAGAATGAATCAGGCTAAGTGATTCTTGTCTTGTCTATTTCTCCTACAAAGGACGCACATTTCAATAATGGCGATAGCGGCCCCCTCCATCATAGCAGAATCAACAGATGGATGTGGGTGATTCAAAGTCTATTTGTGATTGGTACAGTTTCCTGTTTAAACAGCCGCTTCAGAGAGAAAAACAGAAGAAGTAAATATTCTGTCAGCATACCTTCCTGTTCAAGGACACCTGGATTGGACATATTACATATCTTTATTTAACAGGAGCACTGCTGAAAAAAGTACGTGAAAGTAAAAGAAAAACACAAATTAATAAAGCACAACTGAATTTACAAACACATTTTATAGTAATAAATTCCTCTGTACTGTGTGGGTTGGCTAAGTGGCATTTCTTAGTGTATTGTTTTGTTACTGTTGGTGTAATAGTAACATGTTGGCTTTTCCCTGCAATCACATATCAAAATGATGGCCCTGAATGAGGTATGTAGTAGTCTGACATTATATTGAGCATCCTGCTGGTATTGACACACCAGTCTGCTTTTTGTCTGAAAGGCTAGCAAGACAATCTCTAAGTATGTCACACCTAACCAAAACAATGAAGTTGGCATTGTTTTAGCATTTTATAATATAACAATATGATTTATAAACATTGTGATATGCTGCATCGTAACAAATGTTAGCATGACTGAATTAAATTAATGTTCTGATTGAACTATATCATAAACTATATAAGTATATATATATATATATATATAGCAACGATGTATAAATGTGTGGAAATATTACTGCATTATTACTTTTATCCTTCAACCGGGAAAGGAGGACATGATTTTGTTTGATGTTTGCACATTCCTCTTGTGTTCACATTGGCTTCCGTTGACTATGCACCTGTTTCCTTTCACATTCCTAAAGTAGGAGGATCCAAGCCTTTATGCTGTATGAGCACCCCCCTTTTTTACTAAAATAAAGAAATTTGCAATGTGTAAATGTAAATAAAACAGAATGTGATGGTTTGTCAAATCAATTGGCTCCTATTTAACTGATAATTAAAAAAAAAAAAAACAATATATCAAATGGTAAATCTGAGGAACAGTATTCTGAAAAATGTATGGTTATTTTGAATTTGATGCCAGCAACACAAGAAAACAAGTTCAGGTCAAAGAGGAGAGAGAGTAAGCAAAAGTTTAAATGTCAGCATGTTATGGGGGCGCATCAACGCACACTGCATGAGTATTTTGCACAACCGTAAATGTGCCGGTAATTCAAAATTACACCAGACTACACCTTTCTCAGGAAAGGCCTTGCTTATTTTAGGAAGATGATGCCAAACCACATCCTGCCCATATTAGCGTGGTTCTCTAGTAAAACCACCGGGTATTTAATGACATAATACTAAGCATTTTGTTTATTTACCAACACAAATGCCACACATTTGTTCAGTTTAAGGATCATGGTCATGCCCACTGTAAGAGTGACGGTAAGTTCTACAGCCACAGGCATTTTCTGTTTTTGACTTATTTGACATGGATCATGCTAATTTTAGTGCATCAGGCTCCTCAGGAAACAACTTCAGGTATTGGGAAACCATGACCACAGTTTCAAAACTATAGGAGTGAAATTTTAACTTCTTTTCCCCCAGCACTTCATCACAGGTTTGATTTTGTGAGAGGCTGTTTGGCACATCCACTATTCTACCATAACATTAAAACTACTGACAATCTGAAGTGAATAACATTGACAATCTATTTAATATACAATGTGCAGGTGTGGCTTGAGGACCATGGCAAACTTCACAGCACTGACTTGAACTCATCACCCTTATGTGACTGAGCATCAGCAAGAGTCCAGCAGAACCATCCCAATTCACAGAGGACATCACTGTAATCACATTACATTTTTCTGTAATAATATAATGCATTTATGTACTAATTTCAATAATTACATTAGTCCCTAATCAACAATTATGCTGTTACTTGTATTATTCAAACTGGTTTCTGTAGGAAAACGGTCTACAAACTTTGAAGAGCTCAGATTACTTTCATTTTTAATGCATGAAAGGACAAGAATGTTACTGTAAAGTGGGAGAAACAACTATCCACTACTGCTAATACAACTTTGTGTCTCTTTGTAAGCATCAGCAAAGACAGCATGGTCATATGAAGCTAGCAGTGAAGAACCCTGGATCCAGAGTGCATGCTGACCCCAGCCTATTAGCCAAAGCTTGAACAAATAATAAAAGCTATGATGAGCAGATGGGCTTGTACCCATACCTGGTGCGACAGGTATGGCCAAGAAGCAAGAAGTGCTCTTTGTGCTGTTTTTCATAAAACACTAAAAGAAAGATCCTCTTTAGGACTGGGATTTGTGTCAATGTGTGGGACTGTACATTCGAATTATATGACAATAAATCTCAGGTCATGTTGTAGAGTACTGCAGAACATATCAAGTAATGTAATAAATTACCTTTCTGCTGGGAGTAATTAAGTAAGAAAAGGCTTTAGGTTTCTCAAAACATTATAAGTAATTACTTCAGTGTTGCTCAGGACACACCCTATTATGCACTGCACCCAAAGGATGTGCTGTGAGCATTCTGGTACCAGATGCCAAAAGACACCCCAAGGACATGTCCATGTTCAAAACAGAGTTACTTTGAGAGCACCAGGGATTCCTACATATTATTATGCAGGTGATTTTATTGTTTATGCTGATTGGTGTATGTCTATGAACTTCAGCTCATGAAACTTTTTGGCAGCACAACAGATGTTGTTTGTCAAAACATGCAGCCTTAAAAACATGTGATTTCTATTACTCTTGCATGACGTGTTATTTCATATTTAACGCTTTAGTCTGGCTTCATGCAGGATCAGAACCCGTGACCAGGCCTGATGTAGAACCACATAACCACCGTGACGTTTCCATTTGTTAGTGAAGACCTGTTATGTCTCAAGTCTCAAGCTGGGCGTTTTCACCATTGCCATCTTTTTTTCAAATGTTTTCTAATTAAAGCTGACAAGCAAGGAGTGGTTCTGACACTGAGGACACTGTAGAGTAATGGGCTAACAATTTATGATTAACAAATCATTAACCAATAGGGATAACCCTGGATGATCCTCATTTCTGTGTCTAATAACTACCATAATTTACAAACTGAGCTTCATGTTTTATTCAAAATTTCTTCAATCTAGTGACTTAACCAAAAAGTCATCAAGAAAATGCTCGAGATCACAAAGTGGGCTGAGGGCAGTTTTCCAGTAGACTTCTATACAAGTGGACTTTTTTGGCAACAAACAGAAGTGGCCCTGCTGGGTATGAAAAGGTTCTCAGGTTTAAGGCACATCGGCACATCTGCAGAGGCTTCGCGTTTCAGACCCAGAAGCTGCAGCCGTCTTTATAGCATGTATCTGTAGAATTCATGCTGAACATAGCCCAAACTAATAAAGGTTATCCAAAGCAGGTTTGATGTGTCAATGCTGACTGAAGTGACAAAGGTTGTATTAATTTGTAAAGCATCATTTTATACTTAAAAGTATACCAGATACTTTTAAAATGGAGGTTTATTGACACTTTTTGTTATTTACTTTCTCTTATTAACAATAGTGCAGCATTTGAGCACCTTAACGTCAACGACAAACAAAATGCGTGTGTGGTTCCACATGAGCAGCAGTTCTAAGACACAGAATAATGTCTGTGCTGATAAACACAGACATTATTCCTTCAGAACAGATAGCATGAGGCAGATATTGATATAAAACTTTCCGAAGTATGTCTAGTGAACCTGCCAAATAGGGAGTGAATTTAAAGAGATGTCTTTGATTTCTTTTCCTTTAACAGAAGAGGAATGAATTAGGAGACATTTCCAATCAGATAAGGAATGTTAACACTTGAATACGCCTCAACAAAATCATGCCTACTTGCAAGAGAAATTTTTTGACCAGATGAGACTTTGTCCCACGGGAACAAGCGACACAGACATGAGGGAATTCAACATCTGACATGCAGCAAGAGACCCAGAGCAGAGCCAGAAACAAACTATCTGCAGTGATGTTGCTCTTACAGGTTTTGAGGAATGTAGCAAGATAAAAAGGCACGATTTTTAATCACTAAAAGGACTTCATTGGGATACCAAATGCAGGGATGACTGTCAAATTTGTGCATATATAACACAGTATATATAACACAGAATAATCAACTGTCAGAGGGACAGATAAGGAAAACAGACGGGAGGTTGAGTGGGCATACAGAAGAAACGCTACTCATCCATGAAAAAGGCAAGAGAAAGAGTAAGACAGTGGTGTGAGAGAGGGAAAAAAAAGCAAAAACTAGTTGTTCCTACAATGCGCATCCTTCCTCCCACTCTGCATTCGCCAGTGTACAGTGTGGGTGGCAGGACACTTGCTGTCTTTATAGTGAATTTTTTACTAGCTGAATGCAGAGGACTTCCAAGCATACATAGTGTGTCTGCAATGTTAAGATTACATTCAAGATAATCTAGATACAGTTCTATAAACTGCTTAGTAAATAGTTGCGTTGCAGGTTGTTAAGTGACATACTGTGAATCATTCACACAAATTTGGGAAAAATGTCATTTCACGGTGTTAGCTTGCCTTATATTATTCACTTGACTCATGGCCCATCTCATAACATAAGCAAAATACAAGTCAAACATACTTCACTGAAGTCATCCATCCTTAAAAACTCACCAACGCAAGCATTGAGGAACAGCCAATCACTCCGTCTCATCCTGTTCTTAATCTGCTTGAGTTTTTTGAAATCCACCTCAAGATCTTCTTTGCTCCCAATCCCAGCGCCTGATGCCAGTTCAATCCTCTGAAAGTCCATGTTCACCTCTGACTCCCGCTTTAACGTTGGCGGTGACCTCCTCTGGCTGCTGCTACAACTCCCTACACCGCCCACCACACCTCCTACTCCTTGACTAACCATGTGGCCAACAACAGCCCTCCTGTTGTCCCTGTCCTGGTCAAGTTTTGAGGATGATTGTTGACTCTCAGGTTCCGATGCCAGTTGGATGGGCTCAGCCAGCAGACTATTGGGTCTGGGGTGATCGCACACAACACACTTGAGAGCCTTGGCCCAATTTTCATAAGTGCAGGCAGTGCAGGTCCAGTGCTGTGTATGAGTGTTGAGCCTGTTACGGTCATTATATTCCTCACAAGTGTCTGTAGTGGTGGTTGGGGGAGAGGGGCGACATCCAGAGCCTGAGGTCTGGGGTGTTTCTGTGGGGCTGCGTGGCTGCTGGGTATGATGTCCTTGATGGGCTGCATGCTGCCCATGCTGTTGTTGGTGTTGTTGTTGTTGTTGTTGAGCCTGCTGCCTCTGGCACAGGCACTGAGTACACCGGATAGCTCGAGGCCAGTTCAGATAGGTGCACATGTGGCACGACCACTTACTACTAGGCTCAGGTACATCAGCAATGCGAATGCGGGGTCGGGCGCTGGAGTCTGGACAAATAAGTAAGCTAGATCCCCCCTGAGATGGACTGTTGCTGAGGTCTGCAGGGTCCCACTGATGCACACTGGCATCCAGGGCAGGGCTGCACTTGAAGGGCTCCTCAGTAATGATGGCACCCCCGCTGGGCCTCTGAGCGCGGCACATGGTGCACTTGATGGCTGACGGCCAGTTCTCGTATGTGCAGTATTCACAGGCCCACTTGGCAACCAGCTCGGTCATCGTCGCACCGCCGCTAAGGGAGGCTTCCTGCCGTTCAGAGGGACTCAGCTTGGCAGATCCACTCTCAAGGAGATCACACAGCAAGCAGCACACTAAGGTTTAAAGGTGGAAAAAACCCAAACAGATATGTTAAATAAATAATAAAAAAATACAAACCACAGTATCTTATTAATCAAAGGCAAACACTTCAAGAAGGTAAAGGGATTAAAAATTAGCTTGTTTCTCGGTTTAAATGAGCAAAATACACTGCCAAATGTCCCAAACAAAGCCTATTTATTTACAGCCACCTGTGTATTCAAATTATTGACTGGCAAACAAAATTTTAATAAACAGATATGCCCACTCTTGATCTGGTATTAATTTGTAGTAATAACCAAACTATTGTTTACACAAAAACAAAGTGCAAGGGCAAAACTGCAGCCTAGAGTGCAACACTGCTCGTAAACCTTGACACTGACTATAAACACATACAGTTAAGTTATATACACCAGGCACATGCGCCCTACAACAACCAGGCAAGGTAATAAGAGACAAGGACAGATGAAACCTGACGCCCAGCAGGGAGGCGCGTGACTGGTTAAGAGACTTATGCACTGAAAGCAAATTCGCCGTAAAGCTAATTAAGACCTTAAATGATCCAACTGTATGTGTCCCACGCTGTATTCTGAACACTATTTCCACGCCAAAATAAAAGATAAGGCTGGCTCCGACAGGGCAGCTCTGTAGTCCCGTTACTGTTTACGCCACGCCTCCCAAGTTTACCAACACACAGTGAGAAATTCAACATTTTTTTGTGAGCTGCATGTTCTGAAAACAACTGTGTCAAGTAGCTTTGGTACTCACAAGCAACTAGCAAAACTGTCAAGACACTCCGCTATAATATACTTGAGTTTATTTAAATAAGCATTTGACTAGTGTGATTTACAGCCAGTAGTGGTAAACTAACAAATGACACTGTACGGCTGTGTCGTGTCTTAACGGAACCAGCTAGCTGTCACTTACCTTCCATAACAACCGCTCGGTTGCCATCCAGGATTTATGGCCAAGCTAGCTGGCTGCGGCTCGCTAACGTTACGGGATTATGTTTTGCTCGTAACCGTCTGAGAGGCCCTTATCAACTCTACGAGAAGGTGTCTCAACGCTGTAACCCTCACCTTTTGCTTTGCTGTGTTTACACTCCTCGGTCCCCCCTCCCCACGCCCGGTGCAGCCAAAACCAATGGAGTTTCTCCCCCCACCCCACCCCCGGTCGGAGAAACCAACTCCAATCCGAACTCAGGCTCCTCTCACTTGGACGAAACTAGCCGCATATTTACTTCTTTTGGGGGCGCCGTTTACTTGGCAGTTGACAGTCCACACATACCGCGTAGCAAGAACCCTCCCTCCCCCCCTCCCCAGGTCCCGTCCCTCGGCCCGTCTCTTCTGAGTTTTTAAATCATTTTCCCGTTTTCCACAAACACCAAGCGGACGGACTTTAATGGCGGCACAGGGAAGGGAAGCAACCGAGGCAGGGCTTAAAAATACACTACGAGGGAGAGCAGAGAGCTCTGGGCCGTGTTACAGTTAGAGGCAGGATCAGGATTTACCACCCGAATCTGCTGAGCAAGCCGATTGGTTGACACATGTGTATCCCTTGACACGGACCAATCACATTCTACGTCTCTCATTCCAATTGTTAAAAGGCTCAAAGCAAAACAGACTCGAATATCACAGAAATAACGAAAAGAGACATTAGAGCGCCCGTTCTTTTAGTCGCTAGGCTTAGTTAGTCAGAGTAAAATGTGTTTGTTTTATAATTTATGCATCGCAATATGTTGCATCTCTGGCAATCAACCACGTGGTATTCCCCCCTAAAAAGGGACGAAAGGATGATGTCATCGTAAAAAATACTGCAGCAAGCAGTCTGCAGTAATGCATGACAGCTTGACCAACAGTTCCCAGCGTGAAACTAGTGACGATATTGGTGAGAAGCTCCTATCATCAAAGCAGATATTTATATTCCACAATAATTAATGATTCCCCAATTCATTTTTCACATGCAAAAATAATAATAAAATTAAAATCTATGCCTAGCTTTTTTTTTCTTCCCAGGAAATCCCTAACTCTTCTAAGCAAAGTTTGCTTTACATAATAAAGACAATACATCCAAATAAAATGCACGTATGAGGATTTACACCCTCTTACATGTTAATGTCTTTGAAAAATGGAAACTTTAAAGCATTCAATGAAGACTGTTCATCGCAATAAGAAAACAAAGAGGCATTATATCACATATGCATGTCTCATTTATTACCATCCCAGTTCAAGAACCTCATTCTCTGTGCTCATCTAAGCAAGTCCTTGGTCAGCTATTGTCAAGTACACAAATCCAGATAAAAGCCAAGAAGATCTAAACTGCGCTCTGGACTTTGTGCTTTGGGGAGGTGTTTATGTTGCGATGAACCACTTGGGGGCGGAGGAAGTGAAAGGTCATCCTATACAGTAAGTACATGAGTGTATTGGAGCTTAAAAGGTATACGATCCTAACAATGTTAGGTCTCGCACTCTTTACACCAGTGGTCTTCTGCCCTTTTGGTTTCCTATCTGACCATCTGGTCATGATAGGATGGCAGAAGGGATTTTTGTTTTTAAAAAACAAAACAAATTTTCTAGGGCTTGAAGACCAGGATCAAGAGTGAGGACCAAGACTGAGAACTGCTGCTCGATACCACAACACTCAACTGAGACAAGCTCATACGGTAAGTTCAGTTTAAATGCTACCCCACCCCCCGTGTTTACTATACATTCATTATTTATTTCCTTATTATATTCCAGTACTCAAAGGAAACACTCCTAACAAGTCGATTTTATCATTTCTTTTAACATTGCATGATTGTGTTACTCTGGGTGATTATTCAGCAACATTTCTGAGTGCCAGTTCCTGATCAGTGATGCATTGGCATTACACATCAGGGCAAATCAAATGCCTCCAAGGCCAAAAAAAAAAAAGAAAAAAAAAAAGACATAAAACAGGCTGTGTAAATAAAGCAGAACTTGTTCACAAGGCAAAGTGTCTCCACCCTGAAATGTCTTCCAAACTGAGTGCAACCTCCTCACTATGTCAAACAACCTCCACAAACAGTGCAAACATCCATTCCATGCTTAATATAATAATGTCTAGAGAACAATTCTGACGGCTAAAGAACCAAAAACAAACGGGAAAGGCAAAAAAAAAAAAAAAAAAAAAAAAAAAAAAAAACACCACTCTCACTATGGCTGTCCTCAAACGGGCCAGAGGTTTAAAAAGCTGTTTGTCACCTCACCAACTTTGCCCTGGGTGCTGCTAGGTCGTGACACAGATTCGTTCTGACTTTACATTTATGTTTCCAGTTTCAAATAATAAAGCAAGCAGTCACAGCTGCAACATTAGGATACACATCCACTCAGAAGCCACCAGGAAAGGTAAAAAGAGGGGGAAAAAAACATCTTTGGGAAGCAGAAAAGACTGTTTCAGGGAGACAAAACATGACATTATGGAAATGCATGCATTAAACTGCAAGGCTCAATTAAAATAACAATTAAAAAAGAAAAACAAAAAAATGTGTTGATTATTGCAAACACAACACAGTATTTTTTTTTTTTAAATACAACTTTCCCCCCAAATAGAGGTCTGTGAATGTGTTTTGTGTGCAGACTGAAACTGCCCTGAGTGGAAGGCACTGAAGCAAGGTCATGATGTTTTCATCACATTAAACCAGGTCCTTATACTTTACACTGAATCAGGCAGATCACAACACATGAGGTCTGCATTCAACTATGCAAAAACGTGAAGGTGATTGCTCAGTCTCTGTTCCCAAAGTTGCAATTCACACTGTACAGGGGTGCCAGCCATAATTTCATTATGATTTTAATAAAGAACATATTAGTGAGAAGTAAGCTCAAAGTGGTTAAATGAACACAAACATGGTCAGTAGTATTGAGAAAACCAGCACTGTAAAGTGGAAGCAGCAGCCAGGTTTTTATATGAAGAAGTACAGATGGATGCAATTTTTCTTTTTTAGTGGCAGCTCTCTGTGTGTGATGCAGCAGCAGAAGGGAACCATAAGCATCTGGTTAGTAAAGCTACAGTACACTGTTTGCCCTGTGAACCCCATACAATGCAAATAAGCTGAGCTAATTTTGGCTCAGGGTGGTCAAAGAGGACTACTCAAGTGGCACAACATGTCAGCATTGGTATAGCACATTATTAAAGAAATCTAAAATTTTGTTAAGTGCAGCAAAGCGCATACAATTTCAGTGTTATCCTAGAAGAACGAGACATTGACACTGTCAGTCAAATTAGATCAACTGTTAATCTGACAAAATATATATATATAAAAGCACCCATCCTAGAAGTGGCAGAGTAAATTTTGTTTGAAATCTAATCATTATTTTAATAGGCAACGGTACGGTTAATTAAAGACCGTGAAACATGAAAAAGACACTAACAAGTTGAAAATCGAAAAGACAAAATGTGCACATTGAATAAATTCTAGTTACATATATATTTCTTTCTTAAAATTAAAAAGTAAACAACCATTTGCCTACTTCACTGAAAATTGTTTGAAGGCCGCAGAATAGTTTCCCTTCATTTTCATAGTTGGTTTGTGTAGAAGAAAGCAAGAAAACAAAAATAGTGCAAGAGGTAATGTAAGAGTGGGTGCTTAAAGTCAGTGATCCAAATTTGAAACAAAAAGATATACACTTAACATACAGAAAGCATGGGCTAATCTCTTAGCCAACCAGTTGGCCTGAATAATGTTTAAATCTTCACTGCTCGCCCTGAAATCCAACAACGCCACACTTAAATACCAAAACCGGCCCACTTTGAAACAAAACATAAAGACAAACGACTTTTCACCCAGTGAGATGCACCTGTTTAAGCCTGCAAAGCCTAGTAGGTTTCCCCTTAAAATGGAGATCAGACTAAGACAAGAATACACACAGTGGGACATCACTTGCACATGCCTTTCACTTTCAGGACTGGCACTTCTTTTTGTCTGTATTTGCCCATCTTTGATTGCTTCCGATGCCCACCTCTCAAGGTGTGTCACATATTTGTGTCCCTTACACATCCTGTGGCTTTTTTTTTTTTTTTATGTGGCCTGCGAGCCATGAGCATCCCCGTCAGGGCTGAGGGCAGCTGGTCGACCTTGAGCTAAAACGCTGACAGAGACCATTGGCAGGTGAGCACCTTCGCTCACTAAGTTCTCATATTCGCTACTGTCCTCGTCGTCGTCGTCCTCCTCCTCCTCATCGTCTTCCTGCCCTGCAGCTTGTCTGTCTAACGAGTCAGAGCTTGAGCCGTCACCATTGCCAAGGTACGGAGTGCTGGGAGTGGTAACGGGATTTGAACTTGCGCTGAGGCCCAGGCCCAGCCCGTGGCCAAGACCCAAGCCCATCACCGTAGGGCCAGGGGTAGGGTGTCCTGGGGAGCCCACAGCTTGGGGTCGGGGTAACAGAGCAGCACTAGTAGGGGGGGAAGAAGAGGGCAGGAGAGAGTCATCTTGGGACATGAGGTCAGTGTAAGATGGTGGGTTAGGTGAGGTACTGGGCCGCTCCGGAGCAGAGGGTGTGGGGAAAGTTATCCCGGACAGCGGAGAACCCTCACAAGGTTCTGTGTTCTCCTCTGGAGTGGAATGGGAGTCTGCATTTTGGGCTTCACGGAGCCCTGCAGAGAAAAGAGAAAGATGTAGCTATTAAAAACATGTAAGGTAAATGTAAATGGCACTTATATGCATATTAACTGTTGACTGGTCTAACATGAACTTAAAAACTTAAAACTGAATTTCTCTGAATGTGTAGCTTTGCATTATTAGCTATTAGCTTAAAAGGATGTTATAATTTACAGGATGTTAGTTCACTGTCTGCATCCAAGTTTAAGCCCAAATTTGTGGTTCTAAAATTTAAAGCAGCACACATTTAAAATATTAATGACATAATTCCAGTATACTGAATGCAAATCTGTTACGTACTTCTCTCCTCTTCTGCAGTCTTGCGTTTCCTGAGAGCAATTTGTTGTTTGAGTTTGTTCACTTCCTCTTGAATTTTCTCTTTAACACGCTCACTTTGTTCTACCTCACCACAAACAGCCTAAAAATAGGGCAAACAATTTATCAGAAGAATAAACTCTCATGCAAAATAGAACAAAATAAAATAAATATTCTACTGCCCAAAGAAGTTCATAAAATGTTTTAGGTGAAATAACAGGAATTATTCAACCCACCTGCAGTTTATCTTGTAGTGCACTGTAGACTTGGAATATTGTTCGGATATCCTTCATCACACCGTCTTTGTCAAAAAATTCAGCCCTGCAGACATATTCACCAAAAAAGATTTCAAACACATCTTTCAAAAAAACAAAACGATACACAGCATAAACCTACATATTTTATCAATCAAGACCACAGATAAATTGTGGTTTTTGTTGCTGTCTTCTATAGTAAAGTTAAACCGTAGCTAACCACTGACTCTTCAAAGTACAAGCTGAATAAGCTGAAGAGACAGGCCTGACCAAGCTCTTCCTGTAACACACACGGTACTCTTCCACAGCAGAAACAGAGGGTCTAAGTTTAGATACAAAAACAGAAATAAGAGATGAAGCACGTGCAGGCCTTCACATACCAGCTTTGCACTGCAGTCACCAACAAATATATGCTGATCCTACTTGCACAAAGTGTCAACCATAAACTTTCATAAACACATACACACATTGGGATTTAGCTGCTAATTATGCCCTTAAGGGTAAAATATACTATGGCATCAGGTGAAAAACAGGTGGATGCTGCAGCCCCATTCTTATTATAGGAGAAAAATGGCTGTACGATCCGTACCCCCAAAATGGTAGTTACCAGTGGCATAGGATAAACAGTTAAACAAAACAAAACAAACTGGTAATTCAGACCTTACCCATGTTCTTTAATGACCTTTGCGTAGTTAAGTGAGGTATTGGGAACTGAAGAGACTTTGTATTCCTGCTGGCTCGTGTTACCAAGGTTTGGGATTGAGAGTGTAATCCTCTGGTTGTACCTACTGAGTGGATATAACCAGTTAGTGCTTTTAACCCATGAAAAACTTCTTCAGGAAACATAAACACTATGTTGCGCTTCATAATTTGCTATTTACACCTCTTTAAAAAGTCCATTCTGCACCAGCTTGTTATCAGAAGTAACAAGTAGCACCAATCCATTTTTTTCTTTTAATATCTTAACTCAGATTATCTTCTGATACCAATTCACAATACAATCCCATTGACACAGAAATGCATTAACTGTGGATAAGGCAAATCATTTATCAAAAGCTGTCATTACCTTCGATTAGGTCTGAAGAGCACATATTCCAGTGCGTGTGTGGAGCTGTTGGCGGTGGAGATGAAGCTAAAAAGAAGGAAGACGAGGTCGGGTACACCGAGCAGCTGGGTCAGCTGTTTGTGGATGATCTGTTCCCTGAACGACATCTGCTGCTGCGTATTCCTTCGGAACCGGTACCAACCAATGACATTCTGCATGGCCACAGAAACAACTGTTTTAAAATGTGCTCAAGCCTCTCTATGTCCTGTTTAGGACAAAGTACCAAGTATGTGCAGAGGCTGAATGAACAAAAGACATCATAGTATGTCTGCAAAAATAGAAACTTTTAGGTCATTATGAAACTTGTACATCCTTTGTTAAATGCATATGTAAGGAGGTGTAATGCCATTAAGCTCAATGCAATGATGATTTCACAAATAGGATTTGTTATGATTACTTTCAGCATAAATGTAACAAGACATTTCACAGCAATTCAGTCATCTCACAAAAAAAGTTCACTTACTTTCCGTCTATCTTTAAGAATGCTGTTGAGACTTTCTTCATTGACTTTACCTGCGTAGTCATAAAAGCTGATGAGAGAGAGGAAGAAACAGGTTTTAAATGGATTCATCATGTTCCCACGCCTCCTCTGCTTTAGCCTTGTCATATGGGGCCATCTACTGTCCAACTGTCAATACCATAAGCTACTCTGTACATACTCTGTTTTTTTGAGAGAAAAAAAAATGAGACTGAACAATAACACGTGGTTTCAATGAGTCAGACAGTAAGAATTCATCCACCTACCTTATCTTGTTAAGCGTGTGTTACAATAAAGTTTTACATCAAGTTTTCCTAAACCCCTAATGGACCGAATTGCTGATGTACAATGTTAGCTTGCATGAAACAATGTCTGTACTACACTATTACAACAAAAAAATAGTACATATACTGTGTACTGTACAGTGAACACTGAATGAAACCTGTTTAAATGAATTAAGGTCATATCTTACCTAAACAACTGTGCACAAGGATCATGGTGATGGATTTCTGGTGAAAATAAGCAGTGACAAGATTCTTTAGTTACTTATCATCATGTATGCAAATCTTTATGAGTGTGATGCAAATTTAAGGCAACATGTAGACCCACAACTTAAATATATAACACAAAACAACATCAATGAGATGTCATTGACACTGGTGTATTTATCAAATTCAACAAGACACGTGTAACTTATAAGAACAAAAACAAATGTCTATAGGGCCCCACAAACAGCAAACATGACCTTGCAAAGCAGAAATGCTTCTCTTGCTGATTATTTTAGACTTGCTTGCTATTCCAAATACTTTAAGAAGAGATTATAAGCAAAATAAAATAAAATAAGCAGAAGCACGAGAATATGTAGTGAACAATAAGAACACTGACTGTCATTTCTAGACACACTCAAGTATGAGGAGAAAGTCAGGAAGCAGTAAACCTAAGAACTCCACTCAAAAAAGAATAAAAATTTTAAAAAAATCTTCAGTAACACCTTACAGAGGATTTCCCCAATTTAAAATGCCTGACTGTCCAAATGAATAATATTAGACTCATAATGTTTTCCTTATCCCCAATGTCCTTAAACATCTTATGTCCTGGCAGGGATGATGTGATGTAAATGTAGATATTTTTAAATTACATTTATTATTATTAAATAAGTTTAGTATGGAGTCAATAAAAGTTACAAGGTAGTAAAAGGGATGTTAACATTTGCCTGTATACACCTGCGCTGTCTCAGGAAATGGAAGTTTCTCAGTAAGCCATGGCAGTGTGACAGAGTCAGAAAACACATACAAAAACCCTAACATCAAAGCATGACAATTGAAATACCTGTACTTAATTTTAATCTGCTCATTTCCCGCTGTCATGTGTGCCATGAGAAGGAGGTTTAAAACTGTGATGTGTGAGCTTCTCTGTCCTGTGTTAATCGGTCAACGCAAAAGTGTTTAGTCTGTTTCAGGGCTTACCTACTACCTGTAGCAGTTCAGCGCTGCTGATCTGTGTGTCACTGATGCTCACAGTCTCTTCTTGCCTTACATCTCCTAATAGGAAGCCCTCCTGTGTAAAGATGTTTTCACAGAATAGTGGTTAAGACACCAGTGTTATTAATTTCCTGATTAATTAACGGTTTAAGCATAAGTTTGCTTGTCTCTACCTGATAAAAACAAAAAAACAAAACAAAAACATTAAAAAACAACAACAAACCCATAATTACATAAATGTTCACATTCCCTGATTATTTTAAAAATGCTGCTTTACTCCTCAAATTCTCCATAGGTTGGCTTTTAAACTTAATACTCCATTTTATAACTCAAAGTCATTTGGATTATCAACCCAACAGCTTCTACATTTTTGCCCTTATGTTTTTTAACCTATTCTTGCCCTTTGGACCAACTCCTGTTGTTTTAATATGTGTTACAAAAATAAAATGATCTGATCAAATGATGAAGTCACAAGTCACTTAGTAATAAATGCAACACATGATGTGAAATAAAGATCACTAGATTACTAATTCTGCTAATAACACTCTTCCATTAGAGATGCCCGGATCTTTGTTAAGAGTGGTGAACAGGCTGTACTAAATAGGATTTACAAAGGAGTCATACATAAAATAAACAAATGACCTGTTTTACAAGTATTGTTATGACTTTGTGTTATTGTATCTATTCTTTGTTTTACACAGTAAATCATCCGGTCCTTTTTGGCAACTTAAAGTATCTTTATAGAACTATTACATTTTTTGCCATTTCTGCTGCCCTCTTGGCCAGATCTCTCTCAGAAAAAGACATTCAGAATCACCAAGAGAATTTTTATGTGGATAAATAAATA